AGAAGGATGTGCTTCCAAGCTCTACATACGGTTATTGGTAGGTTTCCCTTCCTTGGCATGTAAGCCTCTCCATGGGGAAGCAAACAGTCCAAAACCTGGCTTTCCTCAGAGGGAGCCAGAGAACAAAAGAGCATTCATAACAAATGCACAGTCTTTTGGTAACCTAACCTTGGAAGTGACATCCCATCATTTCTGCTACGCATTAGAAATGATCCATTAACAAGATAATGGCAACCACCCCTAGCAATCCTCCTGACCGGGATACAGAGTAAAATCCAGTTAGAAAGGAAGAAAAATGTAGAATTCAAAGTTCAAATTCATAATAAAAAAAGACCAGACACTGGACTGATAGAGACAGGAAGGACCCCTGAGACTATGGCCCTGAAATACTCTTGTAACCTGGAATTTAAGCCAATGGAGCAATGATGTCACTTTGAGAGAACATGGTAATGTCAACAGCTTCATATGTATGTAAAAGCTGGACAATAAGGAAGACCAATGAAAAATGTATGCAGTCGAATTATGGTACTGTCAAAGAACACTAAAACTAGCACAGACTGAAAAAGAAACTAGCGTGGGCTTCTAGAAGAACCAACAGCTCTGTCTTAGAAGTACAGTTGAAGCTCCGTAGAAGAGAGATGGCGAGGCATCCTCTCCCACACTTTGGATATGTTAGCAAGAGATCAGTCCCTGGGAAAGGACAGCATGCTTGGTAAGGCAGATGCTCAGTGGAAAGGAGGAAGACCTTCGACACGCACAGTGGTTGACAGGAGGACTGACACAGGGTTTGCCATCATGGGCTTGATCGTAGGAACGGTGAGGACGACACTGGACCAGGCAGTGTCATTCGGTTGTCCATAGGGCCGCTGTGACGTGAGACCTCAACAGCGCCTAACAACATCAATGATACTTCTGCCAAACGTCTTCACTATCTTTAAATGAGACTGCATTACAAAATATTACCATCTAACAGTGACTTACAAGTGTAAAGTCTTGATAAGAAAAGATACGGTCCCTCTCCCTAAGTAGTTTCTAAAAACACTAAAGAGAATTATATTTATGGACATTTTGTTTTGTTTTAAAAACTTTATTGTGGATTAAGTGAAGCTTTACACAGAAGATAATCAGTTTGCACTCAACAATTCATACACATTTTGTTTGAGTTCATCCTTGCAATCTCCTCGGTGTTCCATAATTATTCCAGTTTCTCCCTGTTTCCTGTTTACAGTAGTCCTTCTTTCCTAACTCTCTGAACTTTGTCCTGGGGTAATTGCTGCCCTTTTGAGCTTAAATGGTTGATCTAACATGCCGTGACTTCCATCCCAGTTCTGAAGGGTGACAAAGGACCATAATCTTGGAGGTTCCACCAGTCTCTCTCCGACCGGTAATCCTGGTCTCTTTTATGATTTTGAGTTTTGTCCCACATTCCCCCCCACTCTTCTGTGATTCTTTCCAAAGCAGCTGGTCATGGTAGCCAGGCACTGCACTAACTGCTTCCTGTGCCTTTTGATTTTTATCATTCTTTCCTCCTGATGTGAAGTGAAATATAGTCAATGAATTGGCCTTTCTAGCCATATTGCTTATGTGATGTATTTTAATTCTGGATGTTATGCTTGTGGAGGGAGTTCCCTGTTACAGGATTAACATGGGGTTCAGTCTTGACCTTAGTGTGTGAAGCAAGTCACATTGTTTTTCTTTGTTTTTTCCCTTGAGGACATCTTTAAGACTACTTGAGTAGGGGGTGGGACTTACGACAGCGTCTCTCATTTCCTTGGGAATGTGGTCAGCTACAGGGCAAGCTTTACCTCCATCAAGGCTACTCCTCAGGGCATCAGAGCCCTCTGGGACACGGGGAGAAATCACAGGACCGTCTGAAAGGGCATATCCAAGAGCTCTGAAGTTGCGACGGTCTCCGAGACCGGATACACCAGAGTTTGTGGCAGGAAGACTCAGGAGTAGCAGCGCTGAGATGATGGGGTGCCTTCTCCTCATCTGGTCTGGGATTATGGAACTGTGGGGACAGAGCGACAGGTGGGCTGACTCTCTGGCCCATGCAGGCAAAGGCCAAGGGCCCTCATGACCTTGCTGCTGAAGAGGCATTGCTGTGGACCAATGACTTTCCTTAGTGTCTGCGGAGCCTGACTTGTGATAACCTATTAATTGCCCTAATAAACAAAAAAACACTGCTTGCGAATCAGTTCTGACTCAGATATGTGTTCCCAATAAAATGCATTTGCTCAACATTGAACAAACTCCTTTTTCTTTATCTCATGTCCATTGCTAAAAGGAAAAAGCTACTTGTTGTCTAAGAGTGTGACATAGAGAGCTATTTATCTCCATAATTCAGAAATAGCTGTAGTGTAATGGATCTTACTAAAGTTGTTTTGCCCCAACTCCAACTCAGCCATGATTAGGAATGTTTTACTCTGGAAATCACAGATGGAATACAACTGAACTATAAAAGATAAATTCAATGTTAACATTATGAAGGGTAACTATAAATTTTGCCCAGACACCATATTAGAAATGACAGAAAATCACTCAAGTACCCCAAACTTAACAAGTTCCAAATGTATATCATCAATTTTCGTTCCAAACCACATCTTCCTCTTTGAGCATTTCCTTCAATATTTCTTTTAGCAGCACAACTCTTTAACTCTGTACCTGACTAGTTCCCCCAGCTCAGCCTTGAGCTTGCTTTTCCTCTCCTCACACTGCCTTTCTAGGAAATCTCACTCATCCCCAGAGTTAAATTATTATTCCTACAGTGTTAATGTCGAATACAAATGCTTAGTTCTTTCGTCTGATTTCCAGACCCATATAGCACCTCTCTACTTGTTATATCTTAGATTATTCAGAGGCATTTTAAAGTTCCCATGTCAAAAATAAAATTCTTAAAAATAATAATAATAATAATTGGGAGTAGCAATAGCAGAAGGATAGGGGGAAGGTGGGGAGTGGAGGCGGGAAGAAACCACAGCGGAAGGGAGACAGTGTGTGTGAGTCTGGGTAGACTAGAGAAACAAATCCATGGATACACGTGTATAAGAAAGATTTATATACAAGAGCAATTGAACATTGAGAAAACAGGCCAGTCCAGATCAAGTTTATAAGTTCAATATTAGCCCATATGTCCGATACCAATCTATAAAGTCCTCTTCAGACTCACAAAGCACGTGCAATGACGCAGAATGTAGAAGATCACAGGCCAGGGGGTAGAAAGTCTTTGGATCCAGTGTCATTGGAAACATCTCAGCGCTGGCAGGGGGTCTCTGCATGGCTTCTCCAGCACCCAGGGCTGCATCAGGGTGGGCCCATGTGTCTTGTCAGCTGCTCTGTCTCCCAGGGTGTGAGCAGAGAGTCTCCTACCTCCACTGAGGAAGTAAGTACTGGATTTCCCAGAATTCTCAGGAGAAGGCCATGCCCACAGAGGCCTCTTTGGCTATGATCTGATTGACAAACTAGACTCCACCCTTTCACTCATAATCCTCTCAAATTGACAATTATATAACTACTACACAGTGGTCAGTGTAAGATATGAAGTTAATAATTTATCAAGAGTCACAAGGGAGGGAGGGGGGAGGGTTAAAAAAAGGAGCTGATATCAAGGGCTCAAATAGAATGTAAATGTTTAGAAAATAATGATAGCAACATATATACAAATAAGCTTGATACAATTTGAAATATGGATTGTTATAAGAGCTGTAAGAGCCCCCAATAAAATGATCTTAAACGCAAAAAAACACGTCAGGTTCCAATTGAACTCGAATGGGGTAAAAGAATAAAAATGAAACTCTTTGTTGTTCCTTCCTGACTATCTGTAATGGTATCACTATTCACCAGTGGCTTAATTCAGAAGCCTGGGACGCCTCCTTGACTCCATTCTGCAGGGAATGTGAAGTGAAGTTGTGTGCTATGGCTCTTCCATCCTTAGTCTTTGTAACTTCCTCACTATTCACCAGTGGCTTAATTCAGAAGCCTGGGACGCCTCCTTGACTCCATTCTGCAGGGAAAGTGAAGTGAAGTTGTGTGCTATGGCTCTTCCATCCTTAGTCTTTGTAACTTCCAGCAAATGAGTGAAGTAGGAGCATGCAAATGAGGTGCATGAACTACTTTGAGAGGATTGGTCAATTCTGCCATTGCACTGGGTGTAAAGTGAGCCACCTCTGAAACAGGAGGAGAGAGTATCCTGACCATTGAGAAAGAAGAACGTGGTACAAGTGCGTTTTATTTTTGGTGAGAGCACCACACAGTAATGGGCCTTCCAATCCGTGGAATGAGTGAAAATGAGTGCCTTGAAGGAGGTTGGCTTCCAGATTGAAGTGCCCTTTGGGCATTTATCTCTATTAAAGGAGCTTTGTTAACACTTGTCCAAGGCAGGGCAGAGGTCAAGGGGTTGCCTGGCTGAGAGGCCAAGAAGCAAGAGACATGCCTGCCCTGTGGCTGAGAAAAATCTTGTGGACAAAAATATTGGTATCCTTAACCTTTCTGATTCTGACTTCTAACCTGTTCACTTCCCTTATACACCCCATAATTGTTTGAGTTCTCTATGGCCGTTGCAACAGATTATTAAATCCAGTAGAAAAGTATAGTGCCAATTGCGGGGCAGGGGGAAGGTTGGGGTCAGAAGAGAGAAAAGAAGGTTGAGGATGAACCTGACCTCTAACCCCTGCCTTATGTTGTGTTTGAGTCTCCTTTCCCACCCCCACGTCATTTCCGTTTTCACCATTTTGCTCTCTTACCCCACAAAGCTAGTTTAGTCACAGTTCCTGTGAGCTCTACCTACGAATGCATTCCAGTTGCATTTACTCATTTCCATAGCCTCTACCTCGTAGTCTGCACTAAGGTCAGAGCATCCTAACTGACCTCCCTCCTTCCATTCTCAATCCTATATCCATGCCCCCTAAAATAGGTGGACTGCCTTAGAATATAAACCCAGTCTTTTAAGTGATGGCTTTCATTGCGCTTACATTCTACATCCCTTTTCTCCTATGACCTAGAAAGCCCTGCAGGTACCACCCACCTGTCAGAGGAGGCTTGCTGGAGTCGTGTTATGATGCGGAACACATGTCAACAGAGACAGACAAGGGAAAACAACCTGGCCATCTGAAAATCAGGGCATGAAAACCATCCCGTGAAACATGGCGCACACAGCCAATCGTGTGGATGGCGCAGGACTGGACAGCATCTTGTTCTGTTGTGCATGGGGCCGCCATGGGGCCGCAACTGCCGTGAAGTCAAGGGCCAACTTGGCTTCGTGACACCAACAACACGAGGCTGTGCGTGGTCTGAGGCCATGACAGTCTCCCCACATTCATTTGACATCACGTTTCTCTCAGTCACGGCACTACAGTCAGTCATTGCGCCTCAGCCCTGTGTACAAATCAAGAGCTTTGCACTTACCAAGAACCATAGTGCAGAACACCCACGGTATCATGGATCTTAATAAAGTCCATACTTCAAAAAAAAGTCAGTACTTTCCCACGGCTAGGAAAATGGCATCCTGAATCTTACAGAAATGCAGGAGGGATGAATAGTAAGTAGACCTTCAAATGTTCTGCACGGGGCAACGATGTATTTTTCTTTAATTTTTTTAAATAACCATGTAGATGTTTCTTTTTGTGCACCTTCAGGTGATCTCACAAAGAGTGTCTACATGCTTTGGACATGTTATCAGGAGAGACCTGCCCTTGGAGAAGGACTTCATGCCTGGTAATATGGAGGGGCAGCTGAAAAAGAGACCCTCGGCGAGATGGCTTGACACAGTGGCTGCGCAGCGAGCGCCAGCGTGAGGACAACTGGAAGGATGGTGCAGGCGCAGTGGTGTTTCCTTCTGGTGTCGGATAGGGCTGCTAGGAGCCTGCACTGACTCGATGGCACCTAACAACAACAGCAAATCTAGACGTACAAAAGTTGTTTCTTAGGGCTTGGGCACCCACCCAGAGGCCTTCCTGTCCATTTAGAAAGGGAGCAACTACATCCGACCTAGTAATTTGACCTAACAGGAAAAATGGGCCCACATTTACCGCTCTCTTGACAGTGCCCGAAAAGGTGTCCATTTCCACTATATTACATCACTTCTGTCTATCCAGACTTTGCAGCGACCAAAACTTATTTGCTATCCCCTAAGAAGACCATCTTTGGGTTGGGTTGAAAGTTCTCAAGGCTGTA